AAAAGGAAAGCAGCGGGCAGTCAGTCGGTCGTAGTCGAGTGCCGAAATCGGGAGCCCAAAAGTACTCCTCACCTCCAACCCCATTCTAACCCTTAGTTTTTCTAATTATTAAGTAACTAATTCTAAGTTATCTCTAACACTCCTAAACATTTACAAGTCGTTATTCTAACGTAAAATTCTTAAGTTATTAACCAATTACTTTAGCTGTTTTGTCTATTTTGTAACTCTAATTATACTTAGGATATTCGTAAGCATATTATACATCACGAATCACGTAATACACATATATATACATATACCACCTGTAGTAACTCTATTTTTACTCTCCCTCATTCGAACATCCTTACACGGCACATTTTCCCCTATGTCCAAACGGAATCGCGACATACCGTACTCCTCCCTAGTGCCCATCGGTTATTTACAAGTGACTCGAATATCCGAATTTGCCGCCGCACGATCCAGGACGAGGTTTCCCAGCGTCGGCAACACCTAGAGGTCTAGGAGGTGCTGAGCCACATGAGCCACGGGAGCGCCATCCAGAGACACAGAGAGCAACCGCTCTATGCATACTATCGGTAAGTCAGTATCTACACTATACGTGCGAAACCACGACTAACGCCTGCGACCGGCCTACCGTAAGGTTATACCACGCGTCTTGCACGAAATCCATCGCGACTACCCTCGATCGCACGGATCCCCGGGTAGAATCACGTGATTCGTTTAGCCCGAAAATTACGATCTAGTCCCGTGCTAGGGTTCGAACGCGATCCTTCGCGGCAGCGTGGCCGCAACCCGCCGGGACGTAACACCGGTATTCATAGTCAGATCTTATATTTAAAACCGTCTTAAGTTTATTTTCAGATAATAAACGGATTATTTCATTGGTTATGGAGTATCTGAAGATGAACTTAAGACAGTCTTAAAAATAAGATCCGAATAGACTATGAATACCGGCCTAAATAGCGATGGCCCCGGATTCTATCCGGGGCCAAATCAAGAAGGAAGAATGGAACTGTAAGATCGCCATTTTTGTAAATACTCGATTGTACTTTGATTATTCTTCGATCGCAAGAAGAACAATCGACTATGATTAGTCAATTTCTTTGCGACTTTGCGATTTGCGACTAATGTAGACTCAGACAGCACAAATCTCCTCGGGATGTCCTGAAGATGTCCTGAGGACGTCCCGATATCCTAAGGACATCCACAGAACGTCCGCTGTGCTGTTTGGGGAATAGGCTTTATGTCGTTATGAATGTATGATTCCCATTTAAATATCTTATATTTTGTCTTTATATATATATAATTTATGTACTGTCTCTCTTATTATTCGTTTTATAAGCCGATTTTAACTTTTTTTTTTACAAAAGTAACGGAAAATTACGATTTTTTTATTGTTACTTTTCAAATAACGGTAACGCGTTACTTTTTAGAATCAGTAACGAGTAACGGTAACGAGTTACTTTTTACCGCAAGTAATGGTAACGGTAACGCGTTACTTTTAAAAAGTAACGTTCCCAACCCTGCTTATCAGTTACCCGCTGCATCGCTTATGAATATATAAATTATAGGTTATAAGTAGAGATGTCCGATTCTGGGGAACGTCCCGATTGACCACGGTACGATTGGACACAACCAACCGATGAAAAGAATTATCTAGTGAATTACTAGGTTGAACCAATCATTACAATCTGTGTTCAATCGTATCGTGGTCAATCGGGTCCTACCCCCGATTCTGAATCGATTCGATTCTTTCCCCAAAAATAGGCTTATTCGTGTTGTTTGCATTCTTCGCACTTTTTGTATTTAAAACCAGACAAAAGTATATTGGAATGTTTGGAAGAAGCAAAAGCAAGATAACTAACTCGATTGTTTCTTCCAAGCGTCTGATTAGGCATCCATCTCTTTTTAAAAGCGAAAAGTATGAAACATGGAAGCAGCACGAACAACCTTTTTTCCCTAAATTTGTTATGGAAAGAATCGAATCAATTAAAAATCGGTCATCTCTAGTTATAAGTAATTCCGTCCAATCCTTGCGGATAGAATGGCTGCATTCAGTAGACTCAACAGTTGAGACATCTGTTTCCGATGGATCGAACTCCGCTATGAATTTTCTACTGGATTCGTTTGTGATATCGCTACTAAAGATGGCTACTTCTAATGTATTACTTTAAAATAAAAGCGGATAAGGTTAAGTTAAGAGTAGTTTGACAGTAAAATTAAATTTGAAATACTTACGAATAATTTATAAAACAACATTGCATTATAAAGTTATGTTATGTTATTACAGGAAATCTATACGTTCATATAGAACCTAAACAGAATAGCTATCTTGTGAACTTACGACAATGTGTAATACAGTTTAATTATTGTTAATTTAATATTTTTACATGTATAAGTATGTATAAGTATTTCTTACACTTATATAAATATTTCTTGTAAATGTTAACAAAAT